TTGCAATTATCAGACACCATCTGTGGAGGAGGCGCCCAGAGGTACCTGAACACTGCTGCAGGTGAGCCCTGTGATATTCAGTCCAACCTTGTGGAGCCTTTTCCTAAGACAGCTCCCAACTTATCTGGCTGCAGCAGCCTCTCCCTTCAGTCACACACACACTGATCTGCCACCCCATATGCCCTCATGGGGCATCTCCAAATCTCAGCTGGAACACTTGCACCTACATTATATCTCCCTCTCTTTCACAAACACTGTCTCCCAGCGCTTCTCCTTGTACCTCCCTTGTCCCACGCTGTCCCTCCCCAAAAGTCAAATACAGATGCCTCCCTTTTGCTGCACCTCTTCATTTTAGGATCATCTAAATGTGCTAGAAATCTTTTAGTATATTCTAAAAACACCAGAAAACACCTGACATAAAAGTCTTCAAAAGCTCCTCTCATTCCATTCTCAGAGGATGAGGGAAACAACCCTGTCATCCACAGCCCCTTAGAATGCCTTTCATTCTTCCTCATTTCCCTGGAGAGGAAAACTGAACTACTTCAATGGCACTAAATTATCACAGTTGACTCAGGAAAAAACCATTACTCACTGGTCATTGTAGGCAGGCAACAGCCAAAAGGGCAAATACCTCCTACCCAAGCAGTGCACTGACCAGAGCCTGTTTCGTGGGACTCCTCCCTTCTTGGCCTCCCAGTTGCTTCCCCTGCCGTGCAGGACAGGATGTGCATTTGGTCACTTTGGAGAAGTGCAGGTGCTCTGCTGCAGGACTGGACACCCAGGCACGAGACACATGCACGAGCACATCAGGGCAGGGGACTGGGACTGCAGAGCCAAACACACGTCAGTCATGCGGTGGAAGAGAGCTGTGCTTCAGTCACATGGGCTTTTAAACACTCCTGAAGGGCTGAACAAAATCACAATAACATAGTTAAGCATTAACTTGCTCTGACTTACCCTGTAAATAGTAGCATGGCTGATTCCCTTTGTGCTCTGGAAAGGACAGAGTGGTTTTGCTCAGTGAACATTGAGTAAAATTAAGGATGTTGAGATGCAACATGAGTAGTGTACAAATACAAAAATGCTACAATATAAAAGACCCTTATAGGCTTTATTGTGCACCAGTTCACTTGGGATAAGGAGCACATGGAGTATGAGAAATTAGCCTGAGCTAACCAACTCAGGAATTACAGTGTCAGTTTACCTTGCCTGGCTGGGGATGAATTTGGGTAGGCAGGAGTCTCAGGAAGGCCCTTGAGCTGCTGTATCCTGGGTAAGGTGTTATCTTCCAGAGACTCACAGACCTTTTCTGCCTTTCACCTCTTCCTTTCAGGAAGTCTGAGACACGGCAAATGTGAGAGACTGCTGTTCTTCCCCAGGGAGCTGGAAATCTTTCCCAGGAGATGCACTGGACTGGCTGAGTTCTCACACTATGCCCAGGTGGGTCTCGTCAAGGTTATGAAAGAGCCAGAAGCACCCAGAACGCTCCTGTGTATGCTTTTCCCTTGGAGACTTGTGGGGTTTGAAAGGCACAGGAACTTTCCCCTTCACTTGAGCTGAGCTTGGATGAGCCCCAAAGAACACAGAGTGACCCAACATTGTGAAATTATGAAATGTAGGAGACAACACTCATATTTTCTTAGTATCAAAAGAGAGGCCATTATATAATACTTGCTACAGTGGGGGAACAGGAATGTCTGCTTGGTTCCATGATTACAGGGGAGGCAGTAGCAAGTTAATGCTTAACTACGTCCTTGCGATTTTGTTCAATCCCTCAAAGACTTAAAAAAAACCCCAAACCAGTCTTGGAGTGGAATCTTGAAGTGGAAAAAGTCTGGAGAGGTTTTATTACATGACACACAGATACCACCCTGTGATCCAATCCACTGCCCTGCAAAAGGAGAAATCAGCGCTCTCCAAAGAGGGAGCCTGGCAGTCTGTGAGGAAAAGGGGAGATGCCTGATTGCTCACCCTGCCTCCTACGCCCTTGCCCTGGTGAAGTCACTGGCTGTTCCTGTCCTTGGGTGCTGCTAAATTCCAAGAAGCCAGTGCTTGGCTCTGCCAAAGCCACGCCTGCCTGATGCTGAGCTGGCAGGGCCAAGCACTGCGGGGATGGTGAATCCCTTGCAAACACCAACTGGGCCTTTATCGGCACAGATGCCAGGTGGGAGCTGGCACAGCCACTGCCTGTGCTGCTCTGCTGCTGCTCCACTGACACTCTGCTCCTGGTCTTTGAGCCATCCGATGAGACTGAAGCTCCTGCTGCTTCCTGCAGGGCAGTGCCTGGTGGGTGCTGTAGAGCCAGGGGAGCTGGGCAGCTCCCCTTGTGCAGCCCCTGTACCTCTGCAGGGGCTCCTGCCCACTGCCAAGGGCACCAGAGGTCTGTACAACACCCCGGTGTGTGTGAGATGGGCCATTTTTAACTGGTTATGGACCGTGGGCTCATCACCGTGCCCAGGATGAAGGTCCCACCTGCCAGTCACAGAAATCACTGAGGTTGGAAAAGATCTCTGAAACCAAGTCCACCCTGTGCCCTTGTCCCTCAGCCCAGAGCACTGAGTGCCATGTTCAGCTGTTCCTTGGACATCTCCAGGGATGGGGACTCCACCACCTCCCTGGGCAGCCCCTTCCAGTGCCTGATCACCCTTTTTCTGTGAAGAAAGTGCCACAAAC